AGAAATGATTTTGTCAGTGTACATGGTACAGGCAGGGAGACATCAGGCGAAATGATAAAGGACTTTCAAAAAATGCTATTCTTACATGTCAGGCCATGCCTGCTTAGCGTTATCTGTACACCAAGTAATTGTTTGTATATGCTTCTGGTTGAATGAACAAGCAAAATGTGAAGAATAAACAACTTTTATGCAGTGTAATAAAGGAATCTGTATGTATCAAGTTTACAAGAAGTCCATTTTGGCAGAAAAGGCGCAGTGTCTCGAAGCTCATGTCCCCAAGTATTTGTTATTAATTAGGCTTGATCCTATAAAAGGAACACTGTGTGATCACATTGTCAGGTCATGTTTGGACTCTGTCAATATGTAGACATTTTGCATGCCCTATCATGTAACCTTCCACTCTTATCCACAATTAAACACATTAATCAAGATAAGTGCCAAATAGCTCCTTGGAAAAACTGTTTTCAATTATATCACAGTTCTAAGAACAAAGAATGTATCACTGATTGTCAAACGCCACGCACTTAAATTGTGATTATCTCACTGTTGCTTGTGTTAACTTTGTATTGGTTTCAGATTATGTGGAAGCCCAAAACTCCCCTATTTCCCAGGCCCAGAACTATTCTATATACTTTATTAGCCAGTTATGTTTCTGATTAGGTTCCTTACACATGGGGATGTCTAGCTGCAGTGCATCCCTCCCGGTGTTTTAGTGTGCCCAGAAGAGAGAGGTGCAATATCCAGCCCCACTGCCTGCAGCCTGTTAAATTCTATGGCAGGCTAAAATTTGCTCCAAGTGGATGGAGCTGAATGGTATATAGAGTGGTACTCATGTTTAGGGCTCTATGCATTCAGGGATCAATGTCTGGAACGCAGGTCTCCTGCACCTGTCCCTCTCTGGCATATTAAAATGCTGGGAGGGATGTGCAGAATCTAGATGCCCCCATGTCCAGAATGTTTAAGATCCAATTGGCATAGTCTACTCTTCCAATTATCAGGAAACCTACCTTGAAAAATGCAATGCAGCCATATCTGGACTTCAAATAGCTAGGAGGTGGCTACCAAGAGTGTGCACAAGATCAGCAATAAAGGTGAAATAAGTATTTTACTTTGGCAAACAATCAGAGTGTACATGCTAGTGAAGAAGAAGCTGAATGTACAGTATTTTCTGGCATATAAGACTACTTTTTATACTTAAATATATACCCCAAAAATTGGGGGTCGTCTTATACGCAGGGTATAAAATGTGAACCTTGAGTTTGTTTGGGTCAAGCTGGCTGGATGTGTGGTAATACTGTACATACAGTATACCGTGCTGAGCCAAGCTGGCTCAAAACAAATGTCCCTATGACAGATTAATCTGTCAGCCCACTGGATGTGCGGTATATACAGTATACTGCGCTGAGCCAAGCGATTTCAAAACGTACCGGTACGTCCCTACTGTAATCAGCCCGCTGGGTGCGTGTATGAATGGTAGCTGCGGCTACATACAGTATACACTGGGCCAATCACGGCGAGAGATGTATTCTACTAATGAATACAAAGCCTGCTCGGATTGGCTGAGTCAGAGAGGTGGGCTGATGATGTCACAACCTCAGCCAATCCAAGCAGGCTTTGTATTCATTAGTAGAATACATCGCTCGCCGTGATTGGCCCAGTGTATACTGTATGTAGTCTCAGCTACCGTACATACACACATCCAGCGGTCTGATTACCATAGGGACGTACCGGTACGTTTTGAAACAGCTTGGCTCAGTATACTGTATATACCACACATCCAGCGGGCTGACAGATAAATCTGTCATAGGGACATTTGTTTTGAGCCAGCTTGGCTCAGCCCGGTATACTGTATGTACATTACTGCACATCCAGCGGGCTGTATATATACTGTATACTGTATGTAGCCGAAGCTACCGTATTACCGCACATCCAGAGGTAACCATCTGATTTGGAATTTGATCCATATGATGACTGTCTTACAAATGTATCACAAAATGTCATTCATGAACTTATGATGCCAGAGGATGAACATGAGGATTTTGAAGGATTTTAAGTACCGGTAAGTCATAACCATTTCAATAAAAAAGTCTGATGTTTTTAAATGGTGTTGCCTCAGAAGGGGGGGTAGTCTTATACGGCGAGTATAGCCCAAAACCTATGTTTTAACTGGAAATTTAGGGGGTCGTCTTATACACCCAGTCGCCTTATAAGCCTGGAAAATACGGTACTTAAAATTAAAGTTAGTTTCGCTTTCTATGCATTAAGGCAGTGTTTTTCAACCTTTTTTGTGCAAAGGCACACTTTTTTCATGAAAAAACACGAGGCACACCACCATTAGAAAATGTTAAAAAAATTTACCTCTGTGCCTATATTGACTATATATAAAGTAATTCTCTTGAATAGGAATCAAACACAAAGAAATTATTTTATAATTACTTTATTATGAAATAATAAAGTATTTTATAATTGGACCCGGGGGCCGGACCAAGAGTAGATGAATGATGTGTATGTGTCATCCATAGTAAGTATAGTAATATTCCCCCATAGTAAGCATAGTAATTAATCCCCCATATAGTAATTCATCCCCCATAGTAATTAATCCCCCATATAGTAATTCATCCCCCATAGTAATTCATCCTCCATATAGTAATTCATCCCCCATAGTAATTCATCCCCCATAGTAATTAATCCCCCATATAGTAATTCATCCCCCATAGTAATTCATCCCCCATAGTAATTAATCCCCCATATAGTAATTCATCCCCCATAGTAATTAATCCCCCCATATAGTAATTCATCCCCCATATAGTAATTCATCCCCCATAGTAATTCATCCCCCATATAGTAATTCATCCCCCATAGTGTAATTCATCCCCCATAGTGTAATTCATCCCCCATAGTAATTCATCCCCCATAGTAATTCATCCCCCATATAGTAATTCATCCCCCCATATAGTAATTCATCCCTCCATATAGTAATTCATCCCCCATAGTAATTCATCCCCCATATAGTAATTCATCCCCCATAGCAATTCATCCCCCGTATAGTATTTCATCCCTCGTATAGTATTTCATCCCCCGTATAGTATTTCATCCCCCGTATAGTATTTCATCCCCCATATAGTATTTCATCCCCCATATAGTATTTCATCCCTCATATAGTATTTCATCCCCCATATAGTAATTCATCCCTCATATAGTATTTTCATCCCTCATATAGTATTTCATCCCCCCATATAGTATTTCATCCCTCATATAGTATTTCATCCCCCCATATAGTATTTCATCCCTCATATAGTATTTCATCCCTCATATAGTAATTCATCCCTCATATAGTATTTCATCCCCCCATATAGTAATTCATCCCTCATATAGTATTTCATCCCCCCATATAGTATTTCATCCCCCCATATAGTATTTCATCCCTCATATAGTAATTCATCCCTCATATAGTATTTCATCCCCCCATATAGTATTTCATCCCCATATAGTATTTCATCCCTCATATAGTAATTCATCCCTCATATAGTATTTCATCCCTCATATAGTATTTCATCCCTCATATAGTATTTCATCCCCCATATAGTATTTCATCCCCCCATATAGTATTTCATCCCCTCATATAGTATTTCATCCCTCATATAGTATTTCATCCCCCCATATAGTATTTCATCCCTCATACAGTAATTCATCCCTCATATAGTAATTCATCCCCCATATAGTATTTCATCCCTCATATAGTATTTCATCCCCCCATATAGTATTTCATCCCTCATATAGTAATTCATCCCCCCCATATAGTATTTCATCCCCCCCATATAGTATTTCATCCCTCATATAGTAATTCATTCATCCTGATATAGTAATTCATCCCCCATATAGTATTTCATCCCCCATATAGTATTTCATCCCTCATAAAGTAATTCATCCCTCATATAGTATTTCATCCCCCACAGTACTATTCCCCCCCCCCTTCTAGTAAGCCAAGTCCCCCGTGTCAATTCACTTACCTTTTGCGTTCCTCTCGCTGTCTTCCCGCGCCGTTCGGGTCTTCAGGGCGGACTGTGAGAGGAGCCTAGCTCCCCTCCCCTCACGTTCGGCACGCTGCCCCGCCCCGCCTACACACATCCTGACAGCCACATCCGCAAGCCGGATTAAAAGGTCCGCGCGGACTTTTGGGGCTGCCAACCGAGAGGAGGCAGGGGAGCGGCCGACCGAGAGGAGGGAGGGGAGCAGGCGCCCGGCACACAGAAGAGCCGCATTAGACTGGGTAAAGAGCCGCATGTGGCTCGCGAGCCGCGGCTTGCCGACCACTGAATCATTAGATTCTAATGATTGGTCTATTTGTGAGCCGAAGCCACATGTTACAGATGAAATTGGAATTTTTCCCACGGCACACCAGACAATATCTCACGGCACACTAGTGTGCCGCGGCACAGTGGTTGAAAAACGCTGCATTAAGGTAAAAAAAACCTTCTGTGTTGCAGGACCTCCCCTCCCCCACCCCCCACACAATTACCTGAACCCCATCTCGATCCAGTGATGTGCAAGAGAACAGCATCTCTCTGCTTTCACTTCTCACAGAGCAGTTAGTAGTGGGAACCATTGACTTCTGCTGCTGTCAATAAAATCCTGTGATGAGGCAGCAGGGGGGTGAAGCCAAGCTGTGCTGCTTGTGTCTATGGACACAGATAGTGGGGCTCAGGATTAAACCCACGAGTGCCCCTGTAGTAAGCAGGAGGAGGAGCCAGGAGCACCGGTGGGGACCACCGAAGAAGAGAACCGCTTTGTAAAACTATTGTACGGAGCAGGTAAGCATGACATGTTTATTATTTAAACAAAAACGATTAGAATCACTTTAATGTTTTGAATAAAACAAATAACACATTGGTTTTATCTTCAAGTGCTGATCATTTTTGTAAAAGAAAAAAAAAACTCCAGCACATATACACAGGATTTACAGCATCCCCAGAACAGGGGCGGACTGACAACTCATGGGGCCCCCGGGCAATAGGGGATCATGGGCCCCCTGTGTCCTTGCCCAAACTCAAAATAGCCTATGAAAAAGGTACCAGGGGCATCTCATGGGGCCTCCTACTGACCCCGGGCCCTCGGCCAGTGCCCAAGTTTCCAAATGGTCAGTCAACCCTTGCCCCAGAACCTCCATTCTTGACATGGCGAGATTGAGCCGGGATGTACACTGCATATCACATGCATTGATATATTTTTATTATTTGAATAATATTGTCATTGTCAGCTGGTTACAGTTTGACATTTGGATTTCCGATGAAAACTGGGAGCATGTTACAACAAGTACACTTGATTCCTTTCCCGTTCAATAGTACTCACAAATATTTATCTTACTATACTTTACAATAATGTACGAATGTGAATACAAAATAAGCTAAACAGCTGTAACATCTAAAAAAAAACAAGCTGTTTAGTCTGAACAAGCAGAAAATATTTAGCAAATTTCCTATTATTTAATAATATTTCTTTGTTAATGTAACATTCATTAGGGATATAACATTTAGATGTTACTATGGTTTATAAAACATCAAAAACAATGTTATTCTTCATATATAACTTAAGGAATACAAAATAATCTAAATGATGCCTCTTACGTAAAATTAGATTCAGCTAAAAGATGATGAGATACATCGGAAAGAATATGGAAACAGAAACAAGTTTTCACTATGGGTGGTCTCTGTCCATGGATTGGCGGTAAATAAAATGCATACGTTTACACAGCCTGAATCCATGCTAAAACTTAAATGACCGTGGCGATATTTCTGTTCATGCCATTTAATCTTTCTTGCACTGAGGAGACAAAATATTCCACAACTGTGTCATAGGGTCATTTACACATCCAATAAAAAGGAAATTGTATTGTTTGAGACGCCATATGGAGAGATTGTACCACCACTGTCCAATTAAAATAAAACAAACTTTTTGTTTCAATAGTATATAATTGTGTCCTGGGGATTGTTGAGGGACAGAAACTGTTCAAGGGTTGCCTTTAAGTTGAAAACCACCAAATAGCCTTTGTCTGTGCATTGTCAACATGATTAAACCTATTAAGAAGACTCCCACACTCAAGGAGAGGCATCTTGGTGTTCTCATTCAGAAGAATTGCAGTGTTCCCGATACTAATTGACAAGGACAAAACCTTTGCTATATAGAGAAATCTTTCATTCTTCTCCAGTAAATGTACTGTCAGGGCTCTTCTATTAACACTTCCTATTGAGAGGGAGATAAGAGACTGGAAGCTCCGAAGATGTTGCGAGGACATCCCTCAAACTTCTTTCATTAGCTAGTCTCACAATCTTATAATTTAATTATTTCTTTATATAAAATGAACCAACAGTAAAACCGTTAGAATATGTCTACGAGAAGTTGTGTTTCATACTCGGGAGAACCGTTTATCTCTGAATCTGCTTTTTTCTGTTACTGAACATAGAACTCTACAAATTCAGCTAGTGGAACCTTCAGGTCATTTCCAATAGAGGAGAGACAAGGAAGCCCTGACTGAACTCTTACAATTCATGACAGCAGATACAATGGGAAGGGGACAAGTAAATAGAGGCCATTATACTGACCACATAAAGAAAATGCAAGGCTTGGCAGATGCAGGCTGTTAAGAAGAAGTTTCCTTTAGTTACAGTTGTAAGTGTTTAAAGCTGTCCATATGTGAAGCTGCAATGATTATGATTTTGAATAAAGCTGAACTCCATGGAGATTAAAAAGAAACACACTAATTAATTCAGCTAAATATTCATTAAAATCGGTAAATGTATTTTAAAATTGTAGTTGAGTGACCATTTACTCACAAAGCTCAGGTGCAGACGCAGTTTCTTTAACTCCTTTTCTCACAACTCCCTGAGTTCCTGGACATTCCCAGGGAAGACACATTTTTCTACTCCACTCAGTCAGCAGCTCAGAGAGAACCCATTTGCTGAGGCAGTGGTGGCTGAGCAAGTGTTAGGCGGCACTGATGGGCACTGTTAGGTAGCACTAATGGGCAGCACTGATAGGCGACATTGATGTTCATTGATTCAACTGATGGGCACTGATGTTCATTGATTCAACTGATGGCCACTGATTGCTAGCACAGATGGGCACTGATTGCCAGCACAGATGGGAACTGATGGGAACTACTGGCCACACTGATGGGGCTACACTGATCACCAGGACACTGATGATCAGTGCCCTGATGATCAGTGTAGATGTCCCCCTGCGAAATGCTGCTTACCTTCTCTCTTCTCCTCTCCCGCTGTCTGCGTGAGGAGAGGACTGCCGATAACCGTCATTTCCTATTTACTCGGTAATCAACTGTGGTTGGACACAGCTGGTCACATGGTAAAAGCATCTGTGATTGATCCGTTCCTTAGTCATGTGATCAGCTGTGTCCGAAGGACATCATGATCACAGATCGTGCACATGCGTGTCCCAGGGAGCACATGGGGAGGGTTTGGTTCTGGGAGGACGTCCATGGATACCCTCCTAGAACTAGCCAACCGTGCTGTAGCCATCTATTGGCTATAACAAGGTCAGGAACTGGTTTATCCCTTTGCTGTGGACAAAAGGACTTACCTCCCAGTTGAAGCCATACTCAAATCCAATGCACCACTTGTACTTAGTAGCCAACACTAAACTGTTCAGTTGTTGTGCATCTCAGAGGAACTTTCAATCAGCTTCCTGGTACTCAATTTCTGAATATCTTAAAGACTGCAGAGTGGAATACAGCCTTCTCCTACTTGAAGGCAGACCGTAAAATGATGTCATAAAGTAAGCACATACACAGTCCCACATCCACAATTCCCAGATCTGTAACATACATCCCTGTGTCTTCCAGCTGAGCCATCCTGCCGTACCAACAAATCAGTGACTGCTGCCCCTCTCTGCCAATCCCTTTATTGGCTTCCACTAGCCCAACGTATAAAATTCCAAAAACTAACCACAGCTTACAAAGCCATCCACTGCGCTGCCCCTAGCTACATCACCAACCTCATCTGCATATAACGTCCAAAGCATTCGCTCCTTTCTGTTCTCTAGCTCCCTTGTCACCTCCTCCCATGGTCCTCTCCAGGGCTTCTCTATAACCTCTCCCATTCTCTGGAACTCTCTACCCCAGTATGTCTGGTCAACCCCCACCCTGTTCACCTTTAATCGATATTTGAAAACTCACTTATTCAGGGAAGCCTACCCCACCTCCACCTATGAACTGTACTTTAGTCATTTCCATCAGATCATCCCCTGCAGCTATTACCTTTCGTACCTCCTCTTCCTCCCTTTAGATTGTAAGCTCCATGAGCAGGGCCCTCCTATTCCTTCTGTATTGAACTGTATTGTATTTGTACTATCCTCTCTATATTGTAAAGCTCTGAGCAAACTGTTGGCACTATATAAATCCTGTATAATAATAGTAATAAACAATAATAGTGTAAAATAACCCAGCCACAGTCATAGCATTGGTTTTAAGATCCTAAACACAGCTTTTTCTCCTGTATTTAACAATATATTCTGCTATAGTTATACATCCCCAATACAATAACAGCTTGTTAGAGAACAGCCTGCTACAATGTGTCTCCAAGGTAAACAAATGTAATGAATTCCATATTCCTTCAGTTTATAGCGCAGAGAACTATTCCTGTGGCCTGTCCAGTGTGAACCAGAGTCAACGGCAGATTTGGGACTTACACTAAATATGATTAGCCTTTGACATTGACGGTTAGCTTCGTATGTGATGTGCTGCAACATATTTTCCCAGCAAACAGATATTCAACATTATCCTTAAATTGGCAGTTTCTGGGATTAGAGGATCTGATTTTCTTAATAAAAATTAAAGCCTAACTCTTGAATATATATTTTGTAAGAAAATTCATTGTTAAAAATAAATATGAAGTTTTGGCTGCATACTCGCCTACTTTCTGGTACTGTTGGCTACAAAATGCCCAGTTTTCCAGGTAGAAAGTTGCCCAGTTTTATTCAACCTAGCTGACTGAGGACGTACTTTGAGTGCACGGCATCATGGAGCTACTCTGAGGATGCATCACCAAGTTGCCTTTCACTCTGAAGGAAGAAGACCCTGCGTGTCACATGATGGAAATTAATACTTACAGATAAGGTAAGTATATGTATTTAAAAATGCATAACATACTGCCAGGGGGACCCAAGGATTGGTTGGGATGTGAACCAGGAGTTCAAATGTATATACATCCAATCATTAAAGTCATGCTAATGCAATTTCAAAAGTCTTTTCCAATATTTCTAAACCTGCAGATAATACCTGGTGATACAAGGTCCAACTTCTTGTTTTAGAGTGACAGTGCTCTGTCCCTGACTCCCAATTGTGATCCTGCCTTGTCACCCTCTCACATGTGCTTCCAGGGGAGGACTGACCATTTGGAAACTCGGGCACTGCCGAGGGCCCGGGGTCAGTAGGGGGCCCCATGAGATGCCCCTGGTACCTTTTTCATAGGCTTTTTTGAGTTTGGGCAAGGACACAGGGGCCCCATGATCCCCTATTGCCCGGGGGCCCCATGAGTTGTCAGTCCGCCCCTGTGTGCTTCTAATGGAGATTACATGTGGCCATTTCAACAGACATATTATACAGACTTGATCCACAGTCACTATCTGGAAACTCATCCTGAGAAATGCCATGCAGCTATCACTGGAGTGCATGTGGACAAGAATGGCTGCAAAGAGGCTGTAGAGGATCAGCAACACAGATATGCAACACAGGATAAAAAAGAAGACAAGATTTTCTTTTAAGAGCCATTGTTTATACACAATGCTTTAGAAAACTGACTGTCATCCAGTTAGGATTTTTAACCATTTGAAAGTCAGTTTTCTGCTATTACATGTATCCTTTGCTCTTGATCCTGGGACAGATTTCGACTTTCTGTCTGCCATCTCTCCTGTGTGTCTCTTCTCCAACCTTAGTTGACTAGCATTTGTATCCTACTAACAAGATCAGATGTGATAGCCACATAAGCCACACTCTGAGATTAGGGGCTGAAAGACAACACTCCAGGACCGTACCCTAAACAATTTAATCCTTAAAGACGGGGAATTCTAACACCCCTGATATCAATTGGTGTAGTAACCTCCACTTGTACCTACAGTCTAAGGCGTACCTGTAAGTACAGTAAATATCTCCTAAATTTGCGGTGTTAAGGAGATATTCACACAGGATGCAGATGGTGATGTCACCTGCAAATGCTCTCTGAAGGGACGGCATACCTGTGCTGTGCCTTCAAAGCTCTGTGCCGTAAACCTCC